TACCGCTGCTGAGGAGCAGGTGAACCGTACTGCTGGGGGGGAGCACCGTACTGCTGAGGGGGAGGAGCTCCGTATTGTTGAGGAGGAGGAGAGCTGTATTGCTGAGGAGGAGGAGCGCCGTACTGTTGGCCGCCGTCGCCGTAGGCTCGGTTGTCTGGGACCGAAGAGTTAGCACATGCTCTGAAAAGATGTTACTGCGGTAAAAACTTACTATCCTGGGCCTGCGGATAACCTTGCTGAGGCTCCTGCTTCTTCTCGTCCTTGTCGCCGATACCAAGGTTCTCGAACTCCTTGGCAATCTTCTTGAAGAAAGACATGATGGGTGACTTCGGACTAAGGCGTGCGAAGTCGGTGGTGGGAGGATCAAGGGTTATGAGGGAAAGAAGAAAAGAGGTAAGGTAGGTGAGAGAGGAGGGATTAGGAAAAAAGGAGCGACCGGGTTCTGTGTTATATAATGGCGAAAGGCCTGAGGTGTGAGGTGCGAGGTGTGAAGAGTAAGGACTTATTTAGGTGCGACCCGCGCAGTTATCGACAGTCGGCATAGATGCTTGGCAGCTGCCGACAGTGCATGGATGGTGGGGTGAAACGTAGGGTCTCACTGAGTCACTGCTAAAAGGGGAAATATCTCAGTGAATAGATATAGACCACTGTGTGAAAATGGCACTCTTGCAGTTAAAGAGTGATCCAGGTACGGGGGAGACACGGATATGATGCTATCGCACCGCATGAAAAGCACAGGCTCAAGCAATCGAGGCACCTCAGTAGGTATTCAGAGCAGCCGCACAGGCCCGTTTAAAGCCCGTTTACCCCTCCATTCAACACCCAACCTCAAGCTCGGGGACCAGCCAGTGACAGTGCTACGACGTGGCCAATCAGTGGACCTCTAGTGACCCCTGCGGGCCGTTCCGGCGGGGCAACGCTCTGGTGCCAAATGTCACCACCTAGGTCTAAGCTTTGGTACCTGTTTTTTTACGACAGCAAGCTTCGTTCACGTTTGGCTTTAACAAGCATCGTTTTGTCAACGTATCGGATAAGCTGAGGCATGATGTTTAGGACTGTTAAACAAAAGGATCTATAAGAAGCTCTATGCTGACATTGTTCAATTGCGACATCAAAGGCACGGAGAAATACCCCCACATGATTGATAGTGGCGTGGAGTCTACTGAAGCAGTATCCAGCTTATTCCTCGTCTGGCTTGACGGGCACGGATAATCGTCTCGATTTCACATAACATGGAGCCCAACAACCTACCTTATTACATAGCACCTTAGGGGTTTGTCCCCTTCGACTTGCTCTGAACTACAATCGTCCGCACATCCCCATCGGTTAAGTTGGCAGCAAGGGGTAGTTGGTATGAAGGAATATGGGATACGTTGTTGCAACACCAGTGTGGCGGAGCAAAGCTGCAAGCAGTCATGATATCCAATGCTGCCGGTGTCCCTATGAGACAGCGGTGATATCAAACAATAAGCAAATACTCATTCATTCACCCAACGGCAACACAATACTGCGTCACCGTCACAACAGGCGAGAGGCCGCCCGTGATGTTTATCATCGAGGCAATAACACCCGGTGGCTGGTGATGGATCTTCTCTTGTCCCCGAAATCATGAGGGATTTCATGTCGTCTCACAATCTTATTTCCTTGTGACATCCATGAATGATTCACTGGCTCGCCCTCGACACATCCACGTCTGATGCTGCGGTGAGGGGGAGGGGCTCTTGCAGCGCCAAGGCCATCCAGGTCCCTTGGCGTTCCATCCGTTGGTGTCATGAGGGAGGTTTCTTTCCAGCGGCCTCCAGAGCGTTCATTCCCGTCGCTTCCAGGGGGGCTTTCCAGGGGAGCTCAGGAGGGTTCAGGGCTGGTGAATCAGGCCCGTCTCTCCCGGACTAGGTTCTGCCCCTCCATCCCTTTGCCCCGCCTCGCAATTAGCGCCCGTCCTCCAAATGCAGCCCAGCTCAACTGCAGCTGCGAGCTCAATTCCATTGCGAGACTGAAGTGAGGCTGCACTCTGATTGCTGACCTACGTGCTTGTTCCTCCTCTGCGGCTAAGACTCGAACCTCTCGGGCTCCCTCTTGCATCTTCGTTTTTCTCAATTCTCCACGTCAACTGTTGCAGGCCCCGGAGCACCAGTTCACTTCTCACACAGCACATCAGCATGTCCTACTACCCAGGTCAAGGATATCATGGAGGAGGAGGCGGCGGCGGTTACGGATACGCTCCTCCTCCTGGACCTCCTCCTCCCCAGCAAGAATACGGCGGTTATTCTGGAGGCCATCCTGGAGGTCAGAGATATCCTCCTCCGTCATATCCTCCTCCTCCCGGCCTCGACGCATACGGCTATCGTCTCCCACAAGGCCAGCACCACTATGCTGAGCACGCTCGAGCCGGCCCACCTCCTCCATCTACGCCCCAACAGTTCGGTCACGGAGCCCCCGAAGGTTATACTTTCCAATATTCCAACTGTACCGGTCGTCGCAAGGCTCTTCTGATTGGCATCAACTACTTCAATCAGGAGGGAGAGCTTCGAGGTTGTATTAACGATGTCCACAACGTATCAGCTTTCCTTGTTGAGCGATATGGCTACAAGAGAGAGGACATGGTCATTCTGACCGATGATCAATCCAACCCAGCCATGATTCCTACCCGCGAAAACATGATTCGCGCCATGGGCTGGCTTGTGTCAAACGCTCAGCCAAACGATGCCCTGTTCCTCCATTACTCTGGTAAGTCTATTGCCTTGATTTGAAACAAACTGTCTAACATTCCCTTCAAGGTCATGGTGGTCAGGTCGAAGACTTGGATGGCGATGAAGATGACGGATACGACGAGTGCATTTACCCCGTTGACCACACCGAAGCTGGTCCCATCATTGATGATGAGATTCATTTCCGTGTCGTGAAGCCCCTGGTGCAGGGTGTGCGTCTCACTGCCATTTTTGACTCGTGCCATTCAGCCACGGTCATGGATCTCCCATACGTCTACTCAACAAAGGGTGTTCTCAAAGAACCCAACCTAGCCAAGGAAGCTGCATCAGGCCTCTTCGACGCCTTTAGAGCATACTCTAGTGGAGATCTTGCGGGCGCCGCTGGCTCTGTTTTCGGCTTGGCGAAGACCGCCTTCCGAGGTGACGATGCGTTCGAGAAGACCAAGGACACACGAACATCGCCTGCCGATGTTATCATGTGGTCAGGAAGCAAGGATGACCAGACATCGTGAGTTAATTGACTTATTTCATGAGGTATTACTAACGTCTTTGCAGAGCGGACGCCACGATTAATGCTCAGGCGACAGGCGCCATGTCGTGGGCATTCATTTCAGCAATCAAAGCAAATCCTAAGCAGAGCTACGTCGAATTGCTCAACAGTGTTCGCGACATTCTGGAGACGAAGTATACCCAGAAGCCACAACTGTCGAGTAGCCATCCGATCGGTAAGCCTGTATTTTTTCTGAGGCCCCCCTTGAACAAATTGCTGACATGAACATCTAGACACCGACCTTCTGTTTATTATGTGAGGGATTAGAGTTTGGGCCAAGATGACTCAATACAGTGAGCAGATGTATTTGGCCTGGCAGTGGAGGATGCGACGATTGGTGACAGCAGCATCTGATAATAACTTTCATGAATGACCGTATGAATGGATGAACTTTAAAGGCTTCCCAGTGGATGAGGGCCGTACACCAACAAGTGACACGACATGTCTACCTACAAAATAAAGGGAGCCATCTGTGCCCCGTCCTGGGATCTCCAGATGAACAAGACCCAAAAAAAAGGAGGATTCAATCGTATCATTTGTATAGGAACAGCCCGATGCGGGGGTCGAACCCGCAACCTTGAGATGGTGTACTCATCTAAGAGTCTCACGCTCTACCGATTGAGCTAACCGGGCCTCAAACGAGGCTTGCTTATTGATGGAGGGTGGCTGAGAGTTAGGCATATTTGCTGACACTCAGCATGAGTTGTAGATTTGATGATCATCCTTGTGCAACACGATTTCCAAGACAGGCCAGATCGTCCCGTCTGGCCTTGAGACTTCAACTAAGCTGTATGCTTGGCGCGGTTGCCTGTAGTCAAGGCCTGTCGAAGGCTTCGTGGCGTTGACAAATGCCAGCAGATATACTGAACCATTCTTGCGAGCGTGTGCCGAGATGGATCTAAATGGTTGGTAAAGGCAAGTAATTGAAATCAAATTCAGATTCAGGATCATTGCCGGTCTAAAACCAAAACTCAATTAAGAAAGAAACTGAACTGAACTAAAAGGATGTTGATCAACTTGTTACTTGATCCCGTCTGTACAACATTGCTGACACTTCCTCCCCTGCACAATCTGACCCCTTCTATTTCCCCAGTCTATCCCGGTCTATCCCAAACAGAATGAAAAACAAATGGAACAAAAAACATGAAAGTTCCACGCCGTGAGACCCATTAAGAGTGGCGACCAAGCCCTAGAGCAGGTCTTAGATCAACTGATCCAGAACCACAGCCCCTGTTGGGAGATACGGGAGGCGGCGTCCCGAAAGATAGTTGCAATAGAACCCGTCATGCGCCGACCAGGCATTTAGGGGAACGGTTCGTGCATGCTCGACGACCGAGCGGTGTCGGTCATTTAGGCTCGTCATGATGAGAGCCCATATGGCCAGATTCATCGTCAACATTCCTTCGCCGCACGCACTACGCGGAATCGCGCTCCACTGGGCGCCAGTTTCCCCTCCATCCAGCGAGTGGAAGCGAATGACAACTACTTCGGTGTCGGTTATCGCAAAAGTATAACGGGACCCGCTGCGCTGTGCGTATAATCCAAGGTGCTGGATAGGATCCGTAGAACCGTTTTCAATGTCCATGGAGCGCCAGAACTTTGAGACGTGGACCATGCTAGTGACAAGGTTTCCCCGAGGCACTGTATCAGCAAAAATCGTCAGGCTAGGATGGAGAGCCTGTCTAGCGACTTGCAGACCAGCTAAAGGTATATCCTGATGCCACTCAATGGTTTGAGAGAATCCAAGTCTCTGGCCAAGCACACGCGCGCTCTCGGAGACTAGCGGACGCAAAGTGGAAATCATCGCATCGAGGGCGTAGTTTCGGAGCTCGGACTGGTTCCGGAAAGATTTGTCGGCTCCTTGTCCTGGGATCATGTTTGAAGGCTTGCTCAGCAAGTCTCCGTAGGCATTGTTGATATCAATAATGTTAAAATCGGACCAGCGAGCTATATTCTCGTGATGCATAGGATTCATGGTAGGTGCATTCCGCGACCGTTCAGGTCTGGTGTTGTCGGTGAGGATGGTGTTCCTGGTGGACAGGAGGCTGAGGATAGATGACTGATCCATATTGGTCAATGGTTCGTTTGTGTTGACTATGAGGAGCACCACTACAGCCAAAGAAAGGAAGAAAGGGAAACTAGGCAGGATGGTACAGGTAGTTCTCGATGAACGTGTAATAAGATAGAGAGCAGAGTTCAGCCAGAAGTAGTGTTGTAGGTCTAGGGCGTCGTTTTGTAGTAATGATAGCCCGGTTCCAGGACTCTTACACGTCAGAGTTGGGGAGGGTCACCAAGAAGATTAAATCTTCAGGACAAAGGCCCCGTCAACGTAACATGAGAATGCGGTAAAGTATCAACTAATTCTAGCCTTCAGGAGAAAGAACGCAGTCCAGGCCTGCGCACCTGAGTTTGGCTTGTTACACCAACAAGTTATTTGACAGATCATCTTGGGTTATTACAGTAGGGTCCTGTAAGGTACTAATCTGTCTGCCCTGCCATAATGTCAATATGGGACTCCGGAAGGGTTCGTGCATCACCTAGCGGCTGGACTGATCTGATTGATCATATTTGAATGAACGAATGGCCCCCCTTTCTTTCCCTTGCCTTCCGTCTACCTGCGTCTTTGCCTCCTGGTGATGCTCGAAAGGTTACTCCGAGAAGACGTTATAACCTTGCACCAAGCAAGGTCTTTTGCATAAGGTTCAAGCTGACGCAAATGCACGTGCGTGAGATTAAACTCCATTACCCACAATGAAACAAGCATATAAAGTCATCAACCGTTTGGTTTCCGTCCTGAAATTAGCGAGCTATATGCAAACGGGACTGGGGGCCGGGTGACTGCCACACCACGCCGGTAGGAAACACAAACATGGATGTGTGAAGTAGCAAGTTTAATGAGGCTTAGTCGATAGCATCTCTTTGATTCGATAATTCCTGAGCCCTAAAAATAGGCAGACTCTGCTCCGCTCATTTTGGCTGCCAATAGTGCTGATGTCTCGTTTTACTTAGATGCCTACATGGTTAAAGATCCCGTCCTTTGTTCACAAGTTTGATATTCAAAAGCCACAACTTGTTTGCTTGGACCGTGCATAGCTCGTGACCGTTTCTTCTTCTTTATTTGATTTCATTGAGCCACGTCTCTGAATTTACGAGTGCTTCACTATCCCTGCTCCCCCTCAACTTGTTCTTCCCTCCTCCTATGGCCTGTCCTCTCTACTTTTCGGTAGCAGACTCTCATTCTGAGTGCCTTTCAGGAAACTTTAGACACCTTGAGTCAATATTTTCCTCATTAAGAATCAACACACTTCCCTGCCCTGCATTCTTGGCCATGCCTCCTCTCAAATCGCTGCCTGACTGCGAAGGCCCAAAGCTGGAGCCCTTTGAGCACGACTTTGAAGGGGATGACGTGGAGTTTCTCAAGATCCTTGAACCCGACTGTGCTGCACACAGTAAGATTATCAAGACACGAATTGGAGACAAGATCTATTCTATAAAGTTCGTAAGTCAAAACAGTAACAGCGGCATCTACCACTGTAGCTCGAGATACTGACTGCCTCCATTATAGTTCGTGTGGGAGGAACCCTTCGCCCAACCTCCTTACACTACGGTATATGACTACAGCAAAAGGCCCAATGAATGCTGCAAAGGGTTACTTTATCATTTCACACCTTTCGAAAACGAATGCCGGGCTTTCGGTAGGCTGAAAGACGTCGGTCGGGAGGACCTTGCGGTCAAAGTTCATGGATATGTCGCTCTCAACTGTACCGACGTCATCGTTGAGAAGCTACAGGCTGCAAGGTCTAAGATGGTCGATCCCTATGCAAAGCTGGAATGGTTCCTCGCAATAGACAATGGCGTCAGTATGGGAATAGTCAAAGACTGGGTAGACGAGGTGGAATACGATGACGAGGATACCTATGATCTGTATCAACAGGTGGCTCAGGTGTCCCATTTCCCTCGTATGCTTGAGAGACTCCATGAGCTCCACAAGCACGGGATAGTTGTCAGGGACCTATCTGATCGCCAGTACGTCAACGGCACGCTCGTCGACTTGAGCATGGCATTCACAGTCCCTCACCCGTTTGGCCCAGACCCAGACCCATTGGGCTTGGGAGAGTCCTGGCAGCCCCGCTGGACGTTCCAGAGCTTGGCTGCTTGGGATTTATATAGCTTCCAGGAATATGTCATCGAGGCTTGGAAAGAGGGCCTGGCCCAGCTCCTCAAGGCTAGGCCTGGAACTAAAGGCTTGAGAAAGACCTGCTGGACCCAAGCCTACCGTCTCCCCAAACACACAAAGGAACTCCGGCCCCGCGGTGGGTGGCGTCAGGACGAGGAGCAGCAGCCATATCTACCTATGCTGAATTATCGACACCGAAAGTTTGATATGATGCAGGCACCTCGACATGACCCGCTTGACTTTGCCAAACATACTCCGGTCGTCAATAATTCCCAAAAGCGGGTGACAGATGGAGCACAAGGCCGAGGTGTCAAGAAAAGCGTGGCAAAGAGAAAGCAGGTGAAGGGCAAGATGGTCAACAAGCCAAAGGCTCCAAGCTCCAGATATGATCTTCGTAGCCATACAGTCAAGAAGTGAGGGTTGGACTGTATCAGTGCCTAGTCTTTTTCTTGAATCAGCTCTTTCAATTTAGGGAACAATTGTATTTGAGTCTTGGTTGGATAGGTTCATCTCTTGAACAGCGTTATAGGTACGCGACTTTAATAATAAGAAAATGCATTTTAATATCTCCAAGGGGCACAAATTGATCTTCATTCATTCCTGGCCTTGAGCCAACTGTCGAAAAAAGAGACAGCATTTCTGGACCCCAACTTGCATGTAATACCTAATTCCACCTAGATCAGCTCGGTCGGCTTTAAGCCCGGCATGTTGTGTTGGACGGACCTCTCACTCTTGTGCTTGTGGGTGGTGCAGGCAAGCGAAGAGAGGCTAACTGCATATGGTGTTATGAACCGCTCCGACACGGATTTACAAGCGCCCTGCAGCTGCAGCGTCCGATCTGTACTGTACTTGTCGTGTGTGTTAATCTCTCTATTGGGGGCCGAGACTTGCAACTTGGCCTGGGCTGTCATGATACATGTCGATTGGGCTTGATGGCTGGGAAAAAACAAGATTCTGAGCTCAGTTGCAGGCAGAAACATGGCGGTCAATTGCGACGGTGAAACGTTGCGGTGCGTTTATTTGGACAAGCGAGCTTATGATTGATTCATTTTATTAGACGCACGACGATTTGCCCAGGCCAT